ATGGGAGATCCAAGACGTTTTCACCGTCTTCGTGGGCCACTTCAACTTGGTCCACAGTCCTTTTCTTTTCTTTGTCCCCCACAATCCAGGCCTGCGCTGCAGGCCAGGTCCTTCTTTTGGCCCTTGGCCGTTCAGCATGCCACGGACTCGGAGCGAGTACGGAGGAGGCCTGCCGGTGACAACCGGCAGGACCTCGCTCGGGCAGCTTACCTCAGCCTGGGGCCGTTGGGCCTACCATTGCACCGAAAGCGGAATGGGCGATACAGATGATATTAAACAGCTTCACACAGGCCTGATGCATCACGGCTTCACTCGGCCCGGCCGTTGGGCAACCAGTGGCGTACCTGGCTTCTCAAGCTGAGGATCCCCGAGGGTATGTGAACCACCATGATTGGTGGCGCGGCTACACTTGGGCTATCGAAGTCGGGATTCAGTCCAAGTGGTGCGTCACGGTTGCTCGGTCGGGCAGACATTTGAGGCCCGGGCAGACGTTTGAGGCCCGGGCCGATGTCGAGGCAGCGACAGCGAAGGTGTGTTGGATCGGCCGGGCAGTAATCACCGTCACATCTCAGATGACTGGGCCCGCGCCATGGCGAGGAGATCTGAGGGCTTGGAAAAGGCAGCTAAACGGGGCAGACAGCAACAGCAACAGCAACCGCCGCAGCCGCGGCCGCTGGGGCTTCTGCCGCCAGTTACAGACAATTCCAATTGAGTGAGGCTTGCATTATGAACAGCTATGACAGGTTGCGAGTGCCTTTCCACTTGAGTCGACGTGTAGCCGCCCAGGTCCAGTGATATGTATCATGTGCGATGCCTCGTACAGTGTCAGTGAGGAGGACGGGGTTGGCTGGGGTGGTACTCCGAGTAGGGGTGGTGGTCAAGCCCCACGTTGAAGGGCGTTGGCACCTCGGCTGGGCCCGCGAGAAAAGCGGTCCTGACTGTGGATGGATCCTCTCTCTTGACACAGACAGTGCCCAATCCACCCAGTCCACATATCTCGGTACTCCTGCTCCGGCATCCTCGGGCCTGACGCGACCGAACCGTTTGCTGTCAAACGTCCTTGCTTCTTTGCTTGCCCTTGCTAGGTGTTATTTTCAATACCTACAAATCTGTACATACTTACGCACTACTGCAGGCGCACGCCGACATCGACCCATCCCCCTGCAGCCGGCCAGGGCTCGCATGCGGCATCGGGCCAGGGCACCGTACGCGGTCAGGCTCTGCAGAACGACAGGCCCGTCAGAAAGTCCGACGTGGCACGCTGCCAGCCCGTCCCCGTCATCGCCCAGGTCGGGTCTGACGGTGCGGGTGCGTCGCTGGCTTGTCTGTGTCTGTCGATGCGAGATGGAAGCATGGGCCGCACATCACGAGACTCCACCGCTTATTGCCAGGAATGGGAGCTCATCGAGTTCCACGTGTAAATGCGTGGAGACACGAGAGAGAGAGAGTTTGAGAGAGGGCGGGCCGCATCCGCACTCCGGCCGGCCGGCCGTCCGTCCCGCCGCCCTGCTGCCATCTGTCGACGCCCAACGAGAGACATAGTCTCCATCGGCCGTCTGGAGTCCCCTTAAAAAGAGGCGACTGTGAAAGAATGAAGAGCTGGTGAGTTCTGGCGTAGCTCTGGTGTACTCTGCCTACTTCGTACCTACTCTCTGCCTGCCTGCCTGCTTGTTGCTTCTCTCCTGTCACTTGCTTGGCCTCCCCCGTGTCCCGTTTCCCGTTCCCGTTCTCGTGTATCGATCGAGGAGGTCTGGGGTAGCATATCAGTCTGCTACCTACCTGTACGCTGTGCCATCCGCTCCGGGTTGGAGTCACGGTAGTAGGTAGTATCACCCATCACCTACACAGACAGAGTGAGGCACACCTCCTCAAACAACCCCTCATCTGTCCCGTCCAGAGTCTCCTCGGCCGTCGTTCTCAGGCTTTAGCTGGCTCTGAGTGGCTCGGCTGGCTGCAGTTGCCTTGTGAGGCTGCGTTTGCTTCCCTCTGGCCCCCGTCGGCTATCGCACTGGGCCGACCTGCTGTGCTGCTCTGCTGCTGCTACCACCCGCACGTCGATTCCAGACCCCTGATACCCCCTGGGCCGCAACAAATCCTTCCTGGCACTTTCCGCCACGCCGCCTCATGCAGAATCTACCGTTCGTCCCGGTCAGCGATCTGGCTCCGTCAGCATCATTCTACGCCGCCGCCACCCAGCCCCTCGGACTGCGTTACATCTCTGCCGACTCCTCCTCCATCGTCTTTGGCGACGCCTCCTCGACACCACACGTCCCGGTCTTCGCGGTGAGGAAGGCCCCCGGTGCTGGAACCTCGCGACTCGCCCTCTCGGCCCACTCGCCCTCGGCCGTGTCCGCTTTTCACGCCGCCGCTCTGCGTGCCAGGCCCGACCTGGTGCAGATCACAGAAGGCGGTGACGGCGTCTCCAATTTTTCCCGCCCCGACGACACCGCCGACTGCGCAGGCATTCCCGACCTCGACGGGAATATAATGGAAGTTGTCTACAACGGATCGCCCAACTACCCTTCAATCTACCACGGGATCTCCCACTCGTCCTCGCGAGAAGTGAGTCGCGTCCTCGACTGGAACCGAGCCGCGGCCCCCAGCGGCGCTTCGCAGTACCAGGCCGGATCCGTCGCGACGACACGCCCGGCTACCACCGTGCGGGCCCGTGACGACGCCCAGCCCACCCTGCTCCGGCGAAGTGTCACCACATCCACTCTAGAGGTCTCCCCGCAGCACCAGCAGCAGAAGTCGGGCAGCAGCACCGGCAGCCGAGTCGCCACCGGCGCCGTCTTGGGGACCGTCCTGGGCGCGGCCATCGGCGGTGCCATCACCTACACCATGATGCGGAGCGACCGCGAGCGCGCCCCGCGCCAGGAGTTCGACGTCGCCGCCGACCCCCGGGTCCCGGGGGTCCTCCCCCGGCCGCCCATCTTCCAGCGGCGGTCGACCTACCCGGACCCGTACCCGGCCTACGCGCAGCCGCGGTACGTCGAGGTCGAGCGCACCGTCGAGCGCATCCACTACGACGACCCAACGTACCCGCCCTCCTCGTCGCGCAAGTACTACCCGCCGCCGAGCTTCCTGGCCCGCTACTCGGCCATCGACGGCCCGCCGCCGCCGCCGAGGAGCCGGACCTTCGAGGAGATCGACGACCGCTCCAGCCGCAGCCGTCGCCGGCCGCTGAGCTACTACGCCGACGGCGGCAGCGGCAGCGGCAGGTCGCGCGCGCGCGGGCGCAGCGAGGCCGGCGGCGACGCCCGCCGCCCGCTCATGATCGCCGACGCCGGCTCCTCCTCTCCTTCCTTCTCCTCCAAGCACGGCGGGGCGGCGCCCCGGCTGCTGCTCGCCGAGTCCGAGCACCGCAGCAGTCACGCGGGCGGCTCCTCGAGCAGACACAGCGGCGCGCGGTCCCGCGCGTATCCGGAGGACGAGGGCGAGGGCGAAAATGAGGTGGTGGCGGAGTACCGGAGCCGCGCGGCACCGTCGTCGTCGTCGCGACATACGTCCGCCGCATCGTCCAAGCGCACGCTTCCCCCCGCAGCCTCATCGTTATCCTCCTCCCACCATCACCACAGCCACCACCACAGCAGCCACGCGAGCTCGCGGCACACGGGCCGGTCCCCCAAGGCCGAGACGTACGTGTCGGAACGGTCGTCTGCACGCACCGTCCGACCGGCGGCAACGGTGGTCAAGGCCGGTGGTAGTGCCGAGCCATCGGCCGTGCTGCTGCCGGTCCGGTCGAGGGCCGGGAGCGCGAGTAGCCGCAAAAGCCACCACGTTTCAGCGGCGGCGGCGCCTACTTATGTCTCGGCGCGCGACCTGCCGCTGCCGGCTAGCGACGTGCTGACCAAGGCCGACGACGAGGAGTCGCTCGCGCCTAGCGACAGTATCAGCTGCGTGGGCACGAGTAGCCACCACAACAGCAGCAGCAGGCACAGCCATGGTAGTAGGCGCTCGCATCACTGACTAGGTGTTCGGGAGGGGTGGTGAGGAATTTTGGGGGAAAGGAGGGAGGGCGGCGGTGGCGCGGGCTGGGTGTTGTGGAGGTGTGTTCGGGAAGGTGCTCTCGCTCGCCTAGGGAGGGGGGGTGTGGGGGCAGGGAGATACTCTGGGATGGATGGGTGAAAAGATGGGTGGTCGGGTGGACGAGACCACGGGTGGAAGGATGGAGAGATGACTAGACTGTAGGACGGGTGCAGGGGGTGGTGGGATGAAGCGGTGTGGCACTGTACTGTGCTGGCACAGACTTCGGGCAGCTGAGATCATCGACTGGGTGTTGGCAGGGCGCGTCTGCAAAGGCTCTTCCAGCGGTCATGCAGAGACGGGATGATGTAAAGACCTGGGCGATTTTCGACGCACCTGGTTGGGATAAGGTATAGGGACAGAGAGGGCAAGAGGATGAGAGGTGGGGGGACGGCATATAACTCGAGTGACAGTCCAGGGTTATCATGAGACCAGAGCAAAAGGGTCACAAGATGGAGGCAGGTGGGTGCCCGGTCGGCGTGGCCAGCTGCTGCTGAGACTGGCACGGCAGCACAAACGTTGATTTGTGACACCAAGGAAGGGGGGAGAGGTTACTTCACTGTACAGCATGAGAGCATCAAACTCCTCACTACTTTTACTCTTTCGTTTTATTTTGACCTTGTTCTTAGTTCACCATATCCACCCATATCTCCTCTTGCTAGAAGTGTGTAGTAGTGATGTGAGAGTCATTTGAATAATTGATCATCAAAGTGTGCTTGGCCTGGCTCGGAAATCGCAGGGAAGCTGGCCTTCAATTGCTACTTGATATGTTCGCAACCAGCGATCTATGTATTCGACTTATCCAACCCCAATCAATATAAAGAATCATTCTGGACAGGAATGGCGGGTAGTTCAACCCCTCTCCGTGTACTATGCCGAGACACGTTATTGCCGAGGCGGCGAACGGGGAACCTATTTAATCCAAGATTGCCCACGATTAGCCTCCAAGGAACATTGGATGTTTCTGGCTGAACGGTGCCTTAGTGAAGAGGTTATCATGCTCTATTTGGGACAAATCACTTATTTCTCAGAACTTGGAGAGGTCATGGGTTCGAATCCCATAGGTGCCCGCTGATGCTTTTTATTTACTGGCTTCTCCCTCATCACCTGATTCAACTGGTTACTCATTCCGATTGTGCATCCTGGATTTGTTTACATCGCCCATGCTGGCTGGTGCTTACAAGTTAGTTATATGCTTGCTGCAATGGTGCCCGTTTGCAGAGCTGACGAGTATCCGGAAATACCATATATGGTATCTAGGTATTGACAGGATTGTTGACTCTGTCTCTTCTACGCTAATGAACCTCGGTGTGTTTCAAATTGACTCACTGTTCCTGCAAGTCTCTGTCAATGGAGGGGAGTGATAGGAACTTGCTTGATATGACTCCGATCAAGCTATACGTTCAACCCGGAAGAATATCCATCTGCATTTGACAACGTAGGAATATCGCAGACCCAGCAAGGAGAAATAGTTGGTTGTCCAGTCCCAACAGCGCAAAGACCTGCAACAGCCAGCAACAACGAAGGTCGCGGAAGCCTGCCAGGTGAGTGAGCTCAATCATGGAATCTCTACGAGAACTAGTACACACATCCTCATATGCAAGAGCTGTCATCCGGTCGATATACGGGGGTTAAATTGATGGGAGGGACAGATCCATGGCAGTAAGCCTTCGACGTGATCCCCACATTCCGTATGGCGGAAACACCATGCCAGAGACTGCCGATCGGAGAATAGACGGGGTGGAATAGTTCTGGAATAGTCCTAGAATAGTCCCGTCTCCCAGGTGCCGGTGCCGGTGCCAAGAGACCCGACGGCAGTCGGCACGCGTCCGTTGACCTCGACGCTCGATAGAGCCCCATCCGTGCTCCCACGTGTCCGCAACGGCGTCGGTAGGCTGGTCCAGACCCGTGGGGTCCGGGTCGGCAGCTGCAATGTTCACTTAACGATAATGCGTCAGCAGCAACCGAGCATAACCATCACCGCCTGTCCGGACTTGATATTAAACCGGGAAAGGGGATCAATATCGGTTAGATCAATGTGACTGGTAACTGTCACATGAATGTATCCTACCTTGCTTGTCGTGTTGCCGGCAAGGCCAGATTGAAAAGGGCAACCTCTATTCGTGTCACTTGCCGAGTCGACTCGGCCATTGGTCTACAGAAGTCAGCACAGTGAGTGACTTTGTAATGTCGCAATGCAGCGAGCTACATGCTGCGTTCCAATACTTGCAACACCTGGGGCTTGGGGAGCTCTGCTCCGACGAGTGGATGCCGCAAGGTCGGGGCCGGCCCGGTTCTATAGGTGGTCTATCTGACCATGTCAATTACTCCTCGAAAAGTCTGCCCGGGCAGAGTGCTGTCAGGGGTGGGGCGGAGTCCTGCACAATATACATCGATAAATCCTTCACGACCTTAGACGAGTAACTAACTACACAAAATACCAGTATCGGACCACATGTTGTTCGAGAAGTAGTCATTGTCGATCACGCGGGTCCGCTTCCACGTCCACGTGGCTCGTGTAGTCTCCCCGGAAGGAGAGAATCCACATACCCGGACAAGACGGCGCCGCCGTAGGGGGGTAGTCTGTTCTATCTGCGAACCGTTGTTGTCTTGATTTGGGGGTGACCCAACTGCCGGGCACTCACGACTCAGGAGTTGATTTATAAGGCTTCTGGAAGTGGCGCCCAGCAGCTGCGCCACTGGTAGCACAGGCAGTGAAGAAGGCCATCCCCTGGCCAAGTCAAGTAAGTAGTTGCCTACTTACCAACCTTCTTGAGTAAGATATCGTAAGACTTCGGCGCAGCTTCACCCGACAAGATTCACGGTAACGAGCACTCGGAACTCGTTGGGGCTGGGCGCCCAGATTCGGAAGCCGTGAGTAACATGGCATGAGATGGCATCTCGTAGGAAATCACTACTGGCTGGCCATTGTATAGTAACATCCGGTAACCAACCCGTGTGCGTTTTGCGGAAGATCAGTCACAGCTGAACCTTGATCACAGTATATAAGTACCTACTTCCTACATAGGTACCTACCTTAGGTACTTACAGTACTGTACTGTGGTACCGAGCTTCCTCACATGTTCGCGTCACTGTTTCTTGGCACGCTTCTAGAGCCCTTCTAAGACCAACTCTATCTGGTCAGGCTAAGAAAATCCCCAGCCGCTGCCAGATTCGACATGCATGACAGGGCTGGCGGGACTTTTTTTTACTGGGATAGAGTTTTGTCAGCGGCGCGCCGTGTCAGACGGCGGCACCGTCCCTGAGTCGAGCGCTTTCTATCTTTCCTTCCTATCATTCTTTGCCCCTCTGTACTCTCCTCGACGCATGGATGATGGACGAACCGCCACCGACAGTAGGACAGAACTACCCAGGGAGCTGATTACTCATCTACCTGCCTACTCTCGAGCGTTCCCGCCATGATGGCGGCCCATCGGATGGAGCCAGGCTCATCATCTGTGCCCGCACTGCCAAGAGCCTTTTCTGGTTCATACCACCGATACAAATACCAGACCGAGACGTGATCGACACCACACGCACATGGCATCACATCTCGAGACGACGCGAAGTGATCTTCCGCCGCCCTCGCCCGCCACGCCCAGCTCCTCCTCCACCACTTCCTCGCCTTCATTATCCTCGTCCCTGTCCTCGGCTCTGTACTCGGCTATGCCCGGGGAGACGGGCCCAATCCTGGGCGCCGTGTCGCTCCCTGTGGCCATGGTGATCGCGGGCTTCTTCGCCCTGGCCATCTACAACAGCGTCGAGGTGTTCTTCTTCATCTTCACGCGCTTCCGGCCGCAGCGCGGGCGTCGCGGGCGTGAGTTTGGACCCCTGGCTCCTCTCCATCCCACCACCCCAAACCACCCTCACCCCCTTTTCCTCTCTCTTATTCTTCCTTCCCCATGTTCGATCCTTGTGTCGAGAAAATACAGCCATCATATCTACTTCGAAGATCTATTTCGAAGGATATGTCTGCGCGACCAGACTTCTTGAGTAAGCGGCCATTCACTAACTCATGCTCGCCGTCGGACCCTGAAGTGTACTTCTGGAGCTTACTGGCAGCCAACACGGGCATTCCGCTGCACGCGACGGCGGCGCTGCTGCGCTTCTTCGCGCTGGCGCCCAGCCTGCCCATGTGCGTGCTCATCGACGTCGGGTGGTGGCTGATGGTGACGGGCCAGGCGCTGGTGCTGTACGGCCGCCTGCACCTCGTCGTCGGCGACCCGCGCAAGCTGCGCTGGGCCCTGGCCGCCATCGCCGCCGCATTCGTCGCCCTGCAGCTGCCGACGTCGGCCCTGTTCCTCGCCGCCAACGTCGATGCCGAGGGCAACGGACTGGTGGACGTGGCGCGCCGCGGACGCGTAGTCCGCGCTTTCAACGTCCTCGAGAAGACCCAGCTCGCCACCTACGCCGTCCTCGAGACGGCACTCTCGGGCCTCTACGTCTACGAGGCCGGCAGCGTGCTCAAGCCCATGGAAATCACCAAGGGGCCGAGGGTCCGCACCCTCTTTCGCCAGCTGGTGGGGCTGTTTGTTCTGGTCGCCGTGCTGGACATTACTTTGCGTACGTATTGACCCTTCCTAATCCCCCAGACAGATAGTCATAATCCATGCCCTTCGCTTCGATCATAAGAGACTATGAGCTGCGAAACCTATAATGTTTGCCGTGTCTTTCTTCGCCATATCCAAGCTTACATCCAGTTTGTTGCAGTCGTATGCCAGTACACCGACCACTTCCAGATCCAGACGACGTACAAGCCGGTCGTCTACAGCATCAAGCTGAAGGTGGAGTCGGTCGTGCTCAACAACCTGATTGCGCTCATCCAGTCGGGCACGTGCTGCTGCCGCAACTGGACGGGCGACCCGATCCAGCTGTCAGGTAACGTGCCCCTCCGCGGCTGCCTGACGGGCAACGCCCTCACCGAGGACTCGTGGTGGGCGCAGCACAAGGCTTCGATGGGCTTCGGGCTGACCAGGACGCGGTCCTCGACGGCGCGGCGGGAGTCGGTCGCGAGCGCCGAGAGTAGGAGACCGAGGTCACCGATACGATTCCTCAGCATCTGAATAGAACATTAAAGGCCTTGGGCCGGTTTACTCGCCTTGTATGAATGAAATTGTGCAGGCAATTGAGCCGGAAGAAGAGGAAAAAGAACTGATTGCTAGCTTCTGCTGTCCAGCAACTTGCTGTGCTTGACGTGTGTGCCATTTGTTCCTCATCAGTGATACAGGCCTGTAGCAGGTGTCCAGCTGAGAGTCGATGGCCTCCGTCTCACCCTGTGCTCTTCTGTCGACGCTTATCGTGAGGATGGACAGCTGATACCCCCTTGCCCCCAGTATAGCATCGGTATCAGAGCTCACTGGTGGTAAAACTCCCAATCAAACATAGTCCGAGTGGTTGCTTTCAAAAGAAGCAGTAGTAGGAGCAGCAGTAGCAGCAGCAGTAGCAGCAGCAGCAGCAGGAGCAGCAGCAGGAGCAGCAGCAGGAGCAGCAGCAGCAGGAGCAGCAGCAGGAGCAGCAGCAGGAGCAGTAGCGGTAAAACTAATAATAATAATAATAATAATAATAATAACAGCAGCAGCAGCAGGAGCAGTAGCAGCAGTAGCGGCAGAAGTAATAGCAATAGCAGCAGCAGCAGCAGCAGCAGCAGCAGCAGCAGCAGCAGCAGCAGCAGCAGCAGCAGCAGCAGAGGCAATAGAGGCAGCAGAGGCAGCGGCGGTAGCAGAGGCAGCAGAGGCGGCAGCGGCAGCGGCAGCGGCAGCGGCAGCGGCAGCGGCAGCAGAGGCGGCAGCAGAGGCGGCAGCAGAGGCGGCAGAGGCAGCACAGCCCATCATGCAAGAGAGACCATAGAAGAACGCGATCGTGGAAGACATGATGATCCTCGAATTCAAGCCAAGCAACTTTAAAGATCGTGTCAGAAGGTAATTAGCTTGATGCATGCCCGGACGACGGTTGATTCTTTGTCAAAGCCTTCCATTTAGAGACCCAGGGGTAACAGCCAACAGCCGCTTCTCGCAGTGCGGAATTATTTCTCTATTACGGTGCGAAGTACGGTGCGAAGGCCCAGCAGCCA